TTTCCAAACTTGAACATTATCTCCGGGAAATCTTCATCGTTGACATGTGTTATCACTGTGTCTTTAACAAATGACAGTTTGTATAGATGGTCAGTCAAATTTTGAGTATTCTTTGACACAATGGGATTCTCTATTCCATGCACTTGTCCCTCTTTTAATAGAGGTTTGAAGTCTGGGATCAAATGTTTTTCACAACATGCATGAATACGATTTCCCTACATATTAGAAACGATATTAAGTATTGCATCCATGAAATTCAAAGAATAAAAATATGTTGGTTTCCCTACATATTATAAACGATTTTAAGAATTGCACGCATGAAATTCAAAGTATAAAAACATGCGGATTTTAGTTGAAACATAAAACCTGTTCATCCTTGAAAATAGCTTCGTGTGCATAGACTGTGCTCGGTGTAGTCGTCCTCGACTTACGATCGTAGCTTCGTAGGAGTCTTAGTTTCACAGCATCCTGATGCCTCGTTGGGTGCAGCCTCTTGAGAGGAACCCAATGGGGAGACATTTCGTTTTACTGGAAATTGTGAATATACTCAGAATAAAGATGATGAACTATATATACTGTTGCAGCGATGCCTTCATGTAACCGCCCGCCAGGTTCTTCAAAAAATCAATCTCCGGCAGTTTCACAAGCATCGTGGGAAGCATGTATCGCAGGTTTGTGGTGTCGTGGGTGGGATATTGCGCAGGGTGGGTTTAGGTTTTTTTTAGCACGTTGTATTGCCACGTAGATAAAATTGGGCCGTAGATATGTTTCAATGGCATTAAAATTGGACCATTGATTTTGGATTTTGGCGGGTAAATTAGGCAATGGATTTTGATTCGTTTTTTATATATATAATAGATTTCAAATAATTTAAAAGCAAACATCAGGCCCTTAATCATTTACGGATGGAGAAATTATATTTTCAATCACCAAGGTCATACTATTTTATTTTAGCCCTCCGTCCCGCTAAGATGTTCTCATTTTGACTTTTAGTGGTTTTTAAGGAGAGTTGAAAAAAGGTGAAAGTTTACCATAATACCCTTAATGAAAAGGGGTGGAGTGTATTAAATGAAGTGGGTAAGGTGTAATAAATAAAGTAAGTGGGGGTAGTTGTGGTATTTTAATTGTTAAAAAATGAAATGAGAAGATCTATTGTGGACAAAGAAAAAGGGCTATTGGGAAGATCTATGGGGGACGGAGGGAGTACTTCACAAGAGTATTAAATTCATCTAATATCATAGCTACAAGATTCGCCAGACTTGGCGTGCTATCATGGTTCAAAGTCCATTTGATAAAATTACCTACACCATGACAGACAATGCAACAAGCGTTGCATTGTACTCTATGCGTGCAATGCAACAAGCGTTGCATTGTTCTCTTTCTCTCCTTATCCGTGTTTAAAAACTTCTCCACTTTATACTAAACAAAATATTTTTTTTCAAACTAATTCTTACCCTATCCATTACATCATATTTATCCAATAATAATTTTCCAATCACATCCTATTTTTATCTATCACATCAAAGATATTTTTGAAAAGTCAATATAAAAATATTTTTTCCTTAAATCCATTAAAAGTCAAAAGGAAAAAGGTTTCAAGGAACGGAGAGATTATAGTACAATCAACTCTGGCCCTAGCATTTGGGCACGTGACATGCATGGCAAGCAGTAGATACGCAACAACACAACGTTCATCCCGACACAATGTAGTTCACCACACGAAAAAAATATATAAAGATCATCTCATGAGTTTGGGTTTTACTAAACCCGAATAGCTAGCCTTGTGATATATCCTTTGGAGTTTGCCCAAACCAAAAACTAAGTCGTCTGGCATTCGGGTTTTGGCTTTCAGAAACCGGTGTTCGGCATTCGGCATTGGTTTTTGGCGTCCGAACCAACCCAGTGGTTTTAAACTTTTTATGAATGGTTTCTTTTTCTGGGAACATTCAAATAGTTCTCCAACAAAAACGCAACAATAACCACCTTTCGTTTTTGATCTTTTGGTAAAAACCATGTGAAACGGCATAAACTTGGCTAGCCGTGGTTTTTACCTTAATGATGTGTTTTTTAAGATATTTCACCTGGTTTCTTAGTCAAATACATTAAATAAGCGTTTCCAACACTTGGTTTTGAAATGGGAGAACTTTGATTTTTGACATCGGCTTTCGGCGTTGACTGGCTAGCCATGGTTCTTGCAAACTAGCCCAACAACGATGTTGGACATGCCAACTGCGTTGTTTCGTGTTGACGCATGAAAACCATGGTTTGGTGCTAAGTCTTCCAACAGTGATGTTGGACTATGTACATCGCTGTTAAGCCAAGCCTGAAATTCTAGAAGTTTTTTGAATAGCGATGTAGGGGTCTCTACATCGATGTTCAGCTCAAGCTAAGAAAAATGAGCTTTGGAAGATTGTTTTTGAACAGAAATGTTGGCCCAACAACATCGATGTTAGGCTAACATCTTCCTTTGGTAGGATAAGCCTGAACAGCGATGTTAGTTTGTGAACATCGATGTTGGCACCTGACCGTTGGAAGATATTAAAGGCTGAAACTTTCCATGTTTGGAAGTCAACACCTTGAACAGTGATGTTCACCTTTTGAACATCGATGTTGTGGTTGAAGCTTCCAGTTTGAAAGTTTAAGTCTCAACAGCGATGTACTTGAACATCGATGTTAGCCCTATTTTCAGCAGATCCCATTTCAAATTAAATCCCACAAATTATGCCAATCATCCCCAATCAACTCCCACTCGTTGGAGCCTATTTTTTCACTATAAATTAGGGTTTTTGGATTTGTTTTTCTCATCTAATTACTTCACAATTCATACTCCTTCATTGCATTCCATTCCTACATTTTTTCGAGCCTATTTTTTCACTATAAATAAGGGTTTTTGGGTTTGTTTTTCTCACCTAATTACTTCACAATTCATACTCCTTCATTACATTCCATTCCTACATTTTTTCATAGCTTTTGAGAGCCATTCTTGTGAAGTTTTTGTTGCGTTCTTGAGCGTTATTAGTTTACTCAATATCCATTCTAAAAGAGAGTATTGTTCTTGAGTGTATTTGTGTTTGAGACACCAGTCCCTCTTGTTCGTTCGAAGGAAGGGTTGTTTCCTTTGAAGGTTCGTTGAGGTTCGTGTAACTCGAACTTTCAAGTTGTACGAGTTTGTTAAGCACCGTTAAGCTTAACGTTGATAGTGTAACTCGAGAGAGTCTCTCGGGAGGGTGGACGTAGCCACACGTTGTGGTGAACCAGGGTAAAATAAGTGTGTCTTCTCCTTACCCTTTACTTTCGCTCTTAAATTTTTATATCCTGCGATTTTTAGTTTCAATCGCTATTCACCCCCCTCTAGCGTTGGGACTATTATTTAACAGTAATCTCGTACACTAATTCACCCCCCTCCAGGTGTTTTCTTAAGTCTTCAAAAGACTTTTCTTTTGCATCATTGACACAATTTCTCATAGTCATAGTAAATTCATTGAGGATTTTGTCTACATATATGTTCTTTGGTTATATCCTAGAACCCTATGAAATCTATCTCTATAGATTCGAAGATCAAGAGCACGACCATCATCTTCTGCGTCCTCCATGGAGAAATTCTTACTCAACCAAGTGTGAGTATGAATGTCATTCTCTATGAGTAATATTCTCGTTAATATTCAACGCGATGAAGATTTCTGTGCTCCCACTAGTCTTCTACAAGACTGCTCATAACTGATTATGATTAAATTCACATTTCAGCTCCTCGAGGACTGCCTTAGGGGGTGTTTGTTTTTCTGCCAGAAGACCTTCTGACGTCTTTTGTCTGCGTCGCGCAGACACGCGCAGATGCTGGGCTCTGCAGATTGTTTGTTTTTTGGAAGACATTTCACTCAAAAAGGTCTTCCTGGCATCTTCTTGGAGAAGACATTAACCAATGTCTTCTAACATCTTCTCCTTTTTTTTCTACTTCTCTTCACCACCACCACCACCGTCCACCGCCACCGTCCACCACTACCACCGTCCACCATCATCGTCACCGTCCATCACCATCGTCGTCCACCACCACCGCCACCATCCACCGCCACCACCACCACCGTCCACCACCACCACAATCGTCCATACACCACCACCGTACACTACCATCTGTAATTTATATAGCAATCTACTGACATTTAAAAACAAACAGTCTTCTTCTTGAAGACCGCAGACCTTTGGTCCACCACTTCTCCTGCAGATGTCTACAGTAGTGGTCCGCGTCCGCAGACTGCAGACCTTTTCCTGCAGAAAAAACAAACACCCCCTTAATCAATAGATATATCATAATATATCTCGGCGTTTGAGCTTTTCTCACGTCTAGGGATGTTTTGACACATGATTTTATGCTAGAGTCCTAAAGTAAGACACTATAAGGCATAAGCTCATCCATAACTAGTACGATGTTCTTTCCACGAGTCTTGATTAAGAGTATCTATCCTTTTGATCATATCAAAATATATTAATGCTTCCAAAATTTTCTTTCATCTTCATTCAAAAGACCTTCAAACAATTTGAGAATTCTTGATATGTTCTTCTTAAGAATCTGTTGTACCCCACCATGCATCACAAAAGGGTAAGAAAAATCAGGGGATAATGCATAAGTGTTATAATCCTAATTGGGTTGAATTTATTCCTTTTTCCCATCAAAAGGCCCAACCCTTAGCCCTTGCTGCCCAAATTCCCCCCTAGCCAAATCACAACCCACAAACCCTCTCCCACAACATCCAAACTCATTTTCTCTGCCCAAAATAAAGTCTTTGTTATTCATTACTAAGCCTAGGCCGAAGGTGAACAACAAAAGACAAAATAAAACTTTTGTTTATTTTTNTAAGTGTTATAATCCTAATTGGGTTGAATTTATTCCTTTTTCCCATCAAAAGGCCCAACCCTTAGCCCTTGCTGCCCAAATTCCCCCCTAGCCAAATCACAACCCACAAACCCTCTCCCACAACATCCAAACTCATTTTCTCTGCCCAAAATAAAGTCTTTGTTATTCATTACTAAGCCTAGGCCGAAGGTGAACAACAAAAGACAAAATAAAACTTTTGTTTATTTTTTCTTAGACATGATAATCGATTATCCAACATAGATAATCGACTATTGCTTCCCTCTGAATCCTCTCAACGTATTCCTGCAAATGCTCCATAATCGATTATCTCCCTATAGAAAATCGATTATTACTCATCTCAGAAGATATCCAGATTTGGGAAATTCCTTGTGAATCGATTATCTTGCAGAGACAATCGACTATCTGGTTCCTCAGAACATTCCCCGTTCTGTATCAAACCCTATTAATCGATTATCAGTAAGAGATAATCGATTATCGCCTGTCTCAGAACTTGGAAACCGAAGTGGTCTCTGATTTAACTGTAAAGGTTTTGTCATTTAGGAACACACTTGACTAAATATCATTCCCACTATACATGGACGAAATTCCCATGTTATTATTCAACAAAATCAAAGACTTTTACAATATAAAACAAAGCTTAATCCCTCATCCATGTGCCTGCCCAAAAGTCTTTGATTGAATAGTAATATTTTGTCCTATATTTCACTAGAAGTCAAGCCATGTTGTTTCCTTTATTCCTTCACCCTAAGGACAAAAATCATACATAAAACCACTCAAAATACATGCCAAAATCCCTAATCATTAGCCAAGAATTCAACTCATTTGGGATAATAACACATGCACAGCATTTGTTTTATTTTGTAGGAAAGAAGTGGGAAGTTTCCTTTGTTGTATTTTATTTATCATGTAATCATGTTTGTTGTATTGTTTTCTCCATTCCATGGCCTATATATTTCAGCCCTGGTTCATTGTACTAATCAGCTTGTAAAAATATATTGTGATAATATAAGTTTCTTGCTCAGTCTCTCTCTAAATTCTATATATTAAATCCTAATTCTACATCTTAAGAGTGGTTCTCTTAAGTGGGAGTTTTAGGTTCTAGATATATTAAATAAGTTGAGTGATTCCTTATTTAAATACTAGAGTTTAACCCGAGTGAAGATAAGTGTGTGTGATTCCTCTTATATTCACTTGAGAAATGCTTCTTTCCCTCTACTTTGTTTCCTCCTGAATTCAGCCTCCCCTATATTTTTACACCTTCTCTTCTTCTTTCTCTTCTTAAATTGATATCCTAGACCACCCCGGGTCTCGGGTACAACAGAATCATATGTCATGTTTAACTAAGAATTTAATAAACATGATGAAGTATGAATATTCAACATTGGCTGTTTTGTGAAGGCCCATATACATCAATATGTATATCTTTCAATAAATAAGAATTGGATGTGTCATTTGATTTAAAATCATATGATCCCATTATCACTGACCGATCCTAAAATGGGAATGCGTTACTTCTTCGCTTAGCCTACACAATTAGGCTAATGCCAAACAAGATCTAAATCGTTTGGTTTGTACCTTTTAGTAAAACTGTTACATATGCGGGTATACTTTCACAATAAAGTATGTAGATCATTTGATATATTTAGCATAACACATATCATTTTTAGAAATGGATCAACAATTTTTCTTTTATTCGAAATAATTAAGAAATCATCAAACATGATATAATATCTTGCTAAAATAAAATGAACAATAATCAATTCAATATTCGAAAACGGATCAAATGATAAAAACTAAAACATGATATTAGAGCTGCAACACTTGCACCCATTGATCAGCCATGCTCAGTTCCCCTTGAGCCAACCATCAACTTTTCTTCAGCCCCTGCAATGATATGCATTTGTAAGTATCATATACCTACATAGGGTTGTAGATTTCCTATGCTCAAATAACAATTGTACCTGAAGCAGAGGCGTCACCCTCCTTCTTCTTGAAAGCCAGGTAATCTTTACAGTTCCTCCTCCAGTGGCCTTGTTTGCCACAATGATGACATCTGGAGTCTTTTGCTACTCCACCTTTTGGCTTAAGGTTGGAAGAAGTGGATTCATGCTTGATTTTACCTTTGCCTTTGGTTCCAAATTTTCTAAATTTCTTCTTCTTAACCTTTCCACCTTGAATAAGAAGGACGGAACTACCTTTTCCCTTGGTAAGGCACTTTTCAGCAGTTTGTGACATCTTTAAGAGTTTGGGCAGAAGTTTATCAAACCCACGCATCTCATAGTTAACGACAAACTGCTTGTACAATTCAAGAAACGATTGCAGAATAAGATCCGTTGCAAGTTCTTGTCTCAGTGAGAAACCCAACTTCTCAAGAGTCTCAACATAGCCGATCATCTTGAGAACATGCGGACCGACAGGGTTTCCAACAGGCAATTTGCAACCGAAGAGTGCCTTAGAGATTTGGAATCTCTCATGCCTAGCTTGCCCTTGGTAGAGCTGCCTCAGGTGTAGGATCATATCGTACGCCTTCATGCTGTCATGATGCTTCTGAAGCTCAGACGTCATAGTAGATATCATGAGACACGCCACTTCAATGTCATCATCAACGTGATTGTCATATGCTTCTTTGACCACTCTAGAAGGAGTGGCAGCAGGTTGAGGAGGAATGGCCTTTTCATGTACATAGTCTTTCTTCTCAAGACGAAGAACAATAGTGAGATTGCGTTGTTAGTCCAAGAAGTTGGACCCGATCAACTTATCTTTGTCTAGGATTGAACGCAAGGTGAGGTTGTGATTGTTACTGGTCATCTTCAAATGATTTGCAAAATAGTTATTTATCAAGAATTAAGTAATTAATTAGGACTTTACTTAAAAACTCCCCCCAGTATTTTAAACAAACCAACCACCCTCTAGTCTGTAACTTGTTGATTCAAGGTTTTTTCGTGAGAAAAATACCTTAGTGGGCCAAGGTCCACATTACATTTAACTATAATTGTGCTTTGTATCTTGCCCTACAGTTAAACTAACTAGGTAGGAACAAATGGGAACAATTTCCAATTGTAATCACTATAACAACCCTTGGTTTGCTAGGTTATTTTAAATAAAATTTTATTAAGGGTCTAGATCCTTATTTCATCTAAGTATAGTTGTACTTTGCATCTTGCCCTATAGTTAAACTATTTCAGGTAGGAATTATTTCCAATTGCAACACTTTGCAACTCTGGCTGGATGAACTAATTTTATTCATTAACCTAACATTGTGCCTCTAAGTCATTCATCCTTTTACCATGACTTGGTTAAGTCCAACCCGAGGTCTGTCACTATCCATTGTTACGGATTTCACGCCTCACGAACGTAAACCAAGCGTCCCGCTTTGGCGTGTCCGCTACTAATCTAAATTGGCTTTGACAAGTGAGCAGGCGCCGGAAGGCACAGACTTAATATAACGAGGGATTTACACGTGGTCTCACCTATGACATGCGCCGCGCGGATGCACTAGCTTATACATACATTTATACATAATACACTTATATATAAACGAACTTAATTATCAAATACTACCTCCGTCTCGGAGTATTTGTCCACTTTCATTTTTACACACCATCCAATACACTTCTTTAATCCATTTTATCTTGTAATTTGTATATTAAAAAATTATAGAAATTATATATTAATAATCTATATGTTACGACAAATCAAACAAGATCACACATGACTATATTGAGGCTTACACATTGAGAGAATTTGATGAGTCAGAGTACTTAGATGAACAGTTCCAAAAGTCAAAACTGGACGAATACTCCAGGACGGAGGTAGTAATTAAAATGTCAACATATTTATTTAATATGTACGTCACGCGTCCCATATTATTTTACATCAATTACTCATGGAAAATGAAACATATCAAGTTCAAAAAGGCAAGGTGTCCAAGGAAATGTACCGCGAAGATGCAATAGTGTACACAAAAATTGATTCATACTCGGACGGACGTCTACCAAGGTTTAAGGTCTCCCAGTGGACCAGCGGTCCAGTTCAAGACCTTTTCACCAGGTTTCAAGTAAACACTCGTTGTGTCATGAGGCAACTTGCGAGCAAGTCCATTCAAAATCTGATGGAACGCATCCCCATGCTGAGCAGGTTGTGGGAACAACATTGCCTGTTTCATTGAAGGGTTTGCAAGCAATCTCTGCTTCCTCAAGATTTCCTCCGGTCGGATAGAAGTGAGGATCGTGTCCAGCATTGCCACATCTTTCTCTGCTACAAACACCCCGATATCTTCCCATGGGATGGCATCAGCAAAAGGCAAGACGATGTCGTCTGCTATAATCACAGGGATGCAACCAAATATCACTGCTTCAACCAGTCTTGGACTCCACGGCGCCCACCCAAGAGGACACAGACAGAAGATACCTCTCTGCATGTCTTCATAGTAGGTGGTTGGATGCTCTGTTGAGATGTCAAACAGAGGATTGTCCTTGAAGTTCTCCCACACCGCAGCTCGGGCACCTCTGGATACCAAAAGATGCAGAATGAGTAAGAGATAATATTGAAGCAAGGAGTTTGAAATATATGGGTGTATACATACGCCCTCCATCCCAATGTTACGACTCTAGTTTGACTTTTGTGGTTACTTTGACCATAAATTGTGTAACAATTATATTTAGTTATAATGTAAATTTAATATAACTTGGTTCATTTTAAGATGTAGTTTTGATCTATCAAATTTTTATATCATTTATTTATTTATAACTATATTCAGTTTATAGTCAAAGTAACCACAAAAGTCAAACTAAGATGATAATTCTAGGACGGAGGAAGTATATATATATACATATACCTTGCATAGTAACCACCCTCAGGGTCATTGCCAGCATCGTAAAACAAACCGCGGAAGTAAACAAAGATGGACCGTGGAGTCTCTGGAGGAATCAAATGGGATTGCATTTTCTGTGGAGGAGCATATGGAGGAATGGTGATGGAACCATCCTTCAAGCAAACATGATTTCGTTGACCAAAAGTTTGAACCAAGGTTGCTCGCTGGAGTAATGGAAGAACCCCTCTTTCAATGGCTCTTTCCTCCTGAAATAAAACAAGGCAACAATAATTAGTCAAGACTCTACAGGCCTTTAGGGAGGGGAGAGGGATGGACGAGGAGATTTCTCATCTTATCTTACTTGATAATGAAAACAAGCCCCAAAATCATGTGGGACGATAAAGAAGTGGTCAACCCCTTCTGTCCTATTCCAGTAGGGCCAGTTTGAAGCAATAAGTTGTATTGCACTCCTCATCATACGGGGGGACTTAAAGGGAAGAGGAAGGCCATTTGCTGTCAGGTCGCAAGTGGTGTACACTGGTGTGTAAAACCAATCGGCTTCCTCGGGGTTAAGAGTGCGCACAGGGCTGGATAAAAGGAAACGATGCATATATATTTCCGCAGCAAACATGTGGTTTAGACACCGTTGATCCTTCTGGAGGATTTTCTTGTTATATTTGCTTGGAAGCTCGTATACAAAAACTTTTAGCCTCCCGGTAGGATCATCTTCCAGCACATCACCAGCACTGCCTAAATTTTCAGTGAGACGAAAACTTAAAAGATATTTTTTCCAGATTAGAAATGAATCAAATTGAAAATGGAATTGGATCTCCTTTCTAGTGTTTGGTTTTCTCATATCATGATTCCTTGTAAGAAATCATTCCATTCCCTATCACTTTTCTATTCCCTATATGCAACCACAAAAGGAATACTGGAATGATGATTCCGATAAAGAAAAGAGATTTATAACTTCAATTAACTACCCCAAAGCTCATTCCATGCACACATCCATGATTTCATCCAACTAAATTTTGTTGAAAGAAATTTGATGAAAACAAGCAGAACGCATTTCCAAAATCAGTAAACCACTCCACATAATTGGATATTGCAGTGCTTCTTTGTATATCTTCTGTTTCTTCTCAGGTTATAACATTTATTGCTACTTCCTACTTACTATGAAAAAATTTGCCGAGTAAAATATACCCTGAATACATAGCTTTTGTGTGCCACACGTCCACACAAACACAAACTGGCAAAAGCTTGTTAAACGCAAGATCCTAGATAGGATCGGCGGAAGATTGTAAATTGGGGAGCATTACACAGATTTTAAGGTCATAGAGTGATAGCTAATATGTAAAAATTTTAAACTATACCTGCATATAACAAATTAAATTTTAAATGCATAGCTAATTAGTAAACATCCAAATAAATAGTACGGAGTAATAATCATAACATCCAAATAAAAACAATTTCATTATACAATTGCAAAACATTTATCATAGCAATAAGTCCTCAACAAACATTATCATCCATTCCAAATCAATCACCCATAATTTCAATTTTATAAACAACTGAAGTGAAGGAGCTATATTTTTGGGGGGAGGTGCTATATCCTAAAGACTCTTCAAACTCACCTTATCTCATTCCTAAATTGGAATCTACAATAACAATAGCAACATTACCGCAGTGCCACAAAGGCTCCCACCATTGCGGGGTAAGGGGGGGAGGGGGCGGATGCAAGGAGTCCGACCCTTATGTTTAAAACATAGATCGGCTTTTTCCAGATGACCCATGACGAGCGTCGAAAGTTGCATTGACAAACTGCTTCTTCACTACTAAAAGAAGCGCATACAGTTTTTAGAATCATTTTGCTTTATTCCACCATACCCCAAAGCCAAAATAGTGAATCTGTGGCTTCATCGAAGATGATGGAAACAAATTGGGATACTGCCATAGTTTGTAAGGCGACTAGGCGCACGCCTAGGCGACGACTAGGCGACACACATACCTACATATATACATATACATATACATAAATATGTATGTATGTATGTGTATGTATGTGTGTGTGTGTGTCTATATATATATATATATATATATATATATATATATATATATATATATATATGAATATAGGTCTTATACATTTTAAGGAAGCTTGACAGAGAAGACCGAGAGAGAGAGAGAGAGAGAGAAGACAAGTTTAAGTGTATTAGGCTACACTAAAAGAAAATGGGCTGCACTAAAAAATGGGTTTTTTCAAAATTTTAAAGGGCCCAAGGTATCAAGGCGAGGTAAGGCGAATTAAGGCGAGGTAATGCGACGCCTAGGCGAGCGCCTGGTCGCCTTAAGGTTTTCTAGGCGAGGCAAGCAGACAAGGCGTCCCAGTGACAACACCTTATCGCCTAGGCGACGCCTTACAAACTATGGATACTGCATTTATAAGTTTTGTTTTCACCTTTTTAAAAATTTTATACATTATTCCTTATTTTTTTGGCTTTCGGGTATGATGGGATAAAGAAAAATGGCTATTCAAACTGTTTGCATTTCTATTAGCATATATAGTTATATTTACATATTTGTATATTATTTCCATGTATGTATCTTTCCTTGTAAGTAATCGGGCCTGGCCAACGTAGCCTCAAACCTACTTGTATTTAAACGTTGTGCATATTCAATGAAAATCATTCAGTCTTTTACAAATTTCTACATGGTATCAAAGCCAATTTCCCGGGATTCGTTTAAACCCTAGGCTCATTTTTTTCCGTGCCGTCGCCAGCACTACTTCGACCGGCTCACGACAGTCTCCGATCGGCTCACGTCGGTCTCCTCCACGACGCCGGCTCACGTCGGATACATCGCCGGTGCCTCACGTCACCATGGCAGCCGAAACACCAAAGAAGGTACGGCTCATCCACGATCCAACGTCACCCTACTACATTTATCCGTCGGAAAGCGGGTAATTCTCTGACAAAACATCTTCTTAAGGGTGATAATTATGATACAATTTCTTTTAATAGTGAAGCAATAGTTATACAATGCAACTTTTGACGCTCATCATGGGTCAACAATTGTTTTATGTTTTAAATATAGGGATCAAGCTTATGCATCCGACCCCCCTAGCCCCACAATGGGTGGGACCCTTTGAGGCACAGGGTAATGGGTAATGTTGTTACTATTTTAGTCCATATAGAACTTCAATTACAACAAAAAGTTATGATTAGTATATATTTCCCAAAGTTATTAGTATATATTTTCCAAAACAATATTGTATCCTCATCCCTCAATTGAACAAAACATAACATTTTTTATAAGATCTTCCATCCCCCCCCCCCTCCCATCCTCTCCCCTCTTTGGAACATAACAAATGCTTAGACAAGAAATCGAAGCCCCTTGCTTATGTGCACTCAAAAGATTCATGAGGCAAAGAATCGGAAAAAACCCATTTGGTAACTGAACATTTATTTGGCTAATATGGCTGAATCTCATGAGTTTACTAACAATAAAGCATTAGGGAACATCCATTCCGGCCAAATAAGCATGTCAAAACTCAAAAGTCTGCTAAGTGCTTACAAGCAGAATGTATAGAATAATTCATATATCTGTCTACCATACAGATCCTAATGTAGCTCAAAAGTGACTTATTTATAATTTCTCTAATCAATATACCGAGTCACTAACAAGCATCCAATTTGAGTTCAACCCTAACTTGCGGTGCTGAATCCTGATGCTATATTCAAAGTTACTGTACACGATTAAACTATACCCAACCCAAAAAAGAAATCATAAAAGTGAAGTTGAAGCAATTTAAAAAAGGGTCGGACAGCAATAATATCAAAGGAAAACTAGAAATCGATGGAAAATTGAAGTTGTACCTTCTATTCTCTCAGTATGATGACTATTGTGAAACCTGAAAGCTCCAATTCCCAGTATATGCACAAAATAACTAACTAAAACAAGCCCCAACTTGAAATTCCCCATTCGTAAATCGAAACTAAGGGAAGGCAACCCCAAAAGTACATCGATAAATAAAAAATTTGAGAGGGAAAAAGGCTCTCAGAAATTTAAAGGATATTGTACGCAAGAAATGAGACCGGCACAAGCACACACATCGGGGCTGGAATTGAGCTGGACCTAAAGTTGACTTTTTGTTCACGTATCCGGGGAAGCTAGCAAGCTTAAGACCATTCATTATACAAACAATCCCATACCCGAAAGAATGCTAAAAATCCCCCACTTTTGCTACCATGCATGCCCCCTACATAAACATGTGGTAGGGAGGCAAGAAAAAAAGAATTTGAGGGTGGAGAGAGAATGAGTGGAGATAAATATGTGGGGGAGAAATGGATGGAGGCAAGGTTGGTAGCAATGGTGGGGGGTGTGTAGCATGGTCCTACCCGAAATATTCTGATTCGATTCCTTTAACAAGTCAGTTTGATAAAATTTTGTCCCGCACGAGCACACATATCCGGGCCTAAGGTTGACTTTTTGTTCACGTATCCGGGAGCTAGCACGCTTAAGACCATCAATTATACTAGGGTGGGCAACAATTCCGAAACCATTATCCCCACCCGAAATATGCCGATCCGGTTCCTATAATATTCAGTTTTTTTACGGATGCCAAAATTTTGTTCTGCGCCCCTTCTGAACCGTTTTAAGATGGGACCAGACCAGGACACATTAATATTTTACTATTCTATCCCGTTGTCCCGTATATATGTATGTATCTACTTATTTATTTGTATATGGGTATAACAAACCAAAAAATATTATCAAAGTAGATATAAAGAATATTCATATTCAAATGTTCTAAAAAAATGACTAAGACCGAAACACCAAAAAATTCAGACTGTTCTAACCCGTCATTGTCTTGACTTTTGACATATATAGTAACATTTTTCATGTTTCCTTATTATTTTAGCTTTTTAAAAACATTCTAAATAAATATATCATTTTTTCATTATTTTGCAAGTCAAAGTGAGATGCCTCCCCCATATGTATTTTATATTTTTATATCAAATTTAGGATAATGACAAAGTAGGACAACGCGAACTCATTCCGTTTTATCTATATCTCGAATATTAAGGGACAAAGAGGGATAAGCTTGTAGCCCGAACCGTTTCAAATCGTTTGAAAAAAATGGGAAAAACATGGGACGATATATAACCCGAACTGTCCCGACTCGTGCCCACCCCTACATTATACTCCCTCCATCAAGTCATATATCTTGTGTAGTTTTTTGTGATTTTTAAGTGAAGTTATAAAAAAAGTTGGAAATAATTAGAATATACTTGATAAAATTGGGTGGAGCGTATTAAATAGAGTGAGATTTAATAAATAAATTAAGTGAGGACTAGTTGCGATATTTTAAATGTTAAAAAAGGTAATCAAAAACTCTTTTCTAGATAAACAAAAGCGTATTTGGAAAGATCTATGGTGAACGGAATGAGTACGTATCACTGGATCCATTCCAATTCATCATTCGTTTCATACAACACTCATCGGTCGGAGGTGAAGTTGGTGAAAATGAGTACTACTACCTCCGTCCCAGAGTATTTGTCCACTTTCATTTTTACACACCATCCAATACACTTCTTTATTCCATTTTATCTTGTAATTTGTATATTAAAAAATTATAGAAATTATATATTAATAATCTATATGTCAAGACAAACCAAACAAGATCACACATGACTATATTTAGGCTTACACAATGAGAGAATTTGATGAGTCAAAGTGCTTAGATGAACAGTTCCAAAAGTCAAAACTGGACGAATACTCCAGGACGGAGGGAGTATTAAATTTAAGAACCACATATTGACAATACATTATATGAAGCGTAATACTTAAAATACACCTTCGGGTAATAAAAGATATTGATGATATTGTTGGAATTTTTGGCATTTTTAATAGGCATTAAATGGACCAACTTGGGTATATTTGTCAATAGGTCCACTAACGGTTTTAACCGTTAATTAATGGATGTGTTTTCTCTTAAATGAGATAAATGTTTTGACAAATATTACGCCAAAAATGGTAGAGAGTGAATGAGAAATTGATTCTCAGAGTTAACCCGTTAATAAAAGAATATGGTGAGGATTGCAATTTTTGCAATTTTACTGAACCAATCTTCTTTTATTAATTTTACGTATTATATTGTTTAAAATTAGTCCATTCTTACGGAGTTAACTGGCCATTAATCTCCAATTATTCGGGACAAATTTTAAATGGAGCGTAGCGTAACGGACTTGTTAATGGCTAATTAATCACCATTAACACGGTATTAAGTGTGCCACAAATGCCATGGATTTATGGTGTAGGAGTTACATTTTTTAATTGGTTTGGTTATAAAATCAAAGGCTCTCTCCATTCTCTTTTGTGATGGTTGTTTCATATGTGAGGAAGGAAAAAGAAAGGAAAAGTACTTCCTTGTTTTTTAGAGAGAGCTCTTGATTTTCCGGCCAACTTTCCGGCAATTTCCTTTAAAGTTTTTGGTCGCCAACGTTCCTACGTTGTTCTTGTTTGTTGGTGTGTGGTTGATCTGTACAATCTCCACACATGATAGCGGTTTTATCCTGGGAGGAGAGTGCCACGTTTTTCGGTACGGTAGGCGGGCACTACTACCTTAAGGACAGCTCCGGCGACTCCGCTGTCCTTCCACGGTGTTGTGTTTTGCAGGTTCAGTTCATAAAGACCTCGCTGCATTCTGTCCTAGTGCATAATGTCCTCGCAGCCCAGTGCATAATGTCCTCGCAGCCCTGTGCATAACGTCCTTGAGTCGCTGTCCAGTGCTTAAAGACCTCGCTGTCCAGTGCTTAACGTCCTCACTGTCCAGTCCATAATGTCCTCGTACAACAAGGCTGTTTGAAGATATTGAAATTTATTTTCAATTCTGTTTATTTTGTAATATTCTGAATAAGTTATAAATTCAGAATTTTATTTAATTTTATTTTCAGGATCCGTTCGTCTTCCCTGTCCGTTGTAATCCGTACAAAAATTGTAACAGATATTATTTCATATTTTCCCTCAGTCTGGATTTGATCTTTTCATTTAAACTTGTCGTCCGCTACAAAGACTTGCCTATGTCTGAACGCATGTAGTATTGGTTGGATTGTTGTTCTAGTGTCTCAAGAGATTACAAGTACATTTATTAGAAATGAGTCCCAACGCTAGATGGGGTGAATAGAGTTTGAAACAAAATCGCAAGAATAAAATCGAGAGCGTGAAAAGTAAAAAGCGTAAAGGAAATGCACACCAAGATTTACACTGATTCACCACAACGTGTAGCTAGTTGTCTTCCAAAAGACCCTCTCGAGCTACATTATTTTGGTTAAACTTATGGAATTTCGGCCGTTCGTGCTTGGCCAATCTTGATTTTGCGGGATGTTGGTGCGTTTTTTTAGGAGTTAGGATGCACAGATTTTTGGTTTAGGATAAGGATTGTACTTTCAATGGCTTGAATTTGTCAATTTATTATTTAATTGAAATTGGGCCATTAATGAATACATGTGGCATGGATTTGTCAAATTATTCCAAAGTGAAATTAGGCCGTTGATTAATAGATATGGCGGGTAGAGTACAATTTTGACTATGCTTTTATATA